AATGCTTTACAAAAAAACACCTCAGACAGCCCCACCCCATCCCATTTGCACATCCAGATAAAATGAGGAGAAAAGCAAGACCATAGATTCTCCTAGATTCTGATACTATAGCTTTCTAATAAAATAAGCTTTAGATCTATCTGGTGCCTTCTTCTTAGTCTGGCATGCCTTATAGGGCTGAAACAAATCATATATGATTGAGATGAGGGTTTAAAGCCAGTGTTCTAAAATTCTGGCAGAACATTCTCCTCCCCCTGGGTTTGGCCTTGTAATGCTCTAAGTAAACTATTGGTCCACTTGAGTAAAAATAATGGAAAAGAGGTACATTATCATAAATATGCTGAAATCTGTGATATATTTGGAGAAGTGATTCACCAATACATAAGGGATACTATCATCTAAAGAAACAGAAATATGGTGCTTTATTAGGCTTTACTGTAGCTAAATATCTCAGGAATATTACTATTTTAAGCTTAAGAAGGGTGTTCACATTCTACTTATTGGATTCCAGGTTCTGGTTTATTCTATATCTTATCCACTTATGTGATGTTTATGAGATTTAATCAACAGCTGAAGTGCTATTACACAGTTTATACCAAGCAGTACTACAATTTGAAAATCTCACATTTAATTAAAACTTCAAAAAGAAGACACACGCACACACATACATACACACATCATACAATTCTTGCTAGAAATGATGCCTAGAAACAAATTTATGAAAGCATGCTTCATACATAAAATGACTGTATACAGATGAACTCTGTAACTATATGTTGCTATTCTCTCTATTGTATGTGTTGATCAATGATTGAAATAAAAGAGCATTATTTGTAAGCTGTGGTGAACTGCAGTGAGATAGGTGGCAAACAAATTTCATAAATAAGTAATAATACAAATAAATAAAATGAGTCATGTATCTATCTGTACATTCCATTGCCATATGAGTTAACTGCTTACACTATGCTACCACCTCCATATATATTGTAATCATCTTGAACAGAGCAAGATGATCACTTCTAAATTATCCTTCAATTCATCTAGTTTCATACTCCAGAGAATGACAGCAGTGCCAACCACCTGAAAAAACACAATGGGACATAATGCACAGCTTTTTTGTTCGTAAATATCCAAACCCATTGCTCTACCTTTCAGCACCCCAGAAAAATATCCTGTTGCAGGGAGACCTTCCACTTTTATTTTGTCTAAGCTCAAACATATTCCTATCTCATATTTAAAGAATACACTTCACAATATTTGATAGGCTGGAATGATGACTGCAATGACTGGTCCTGCAGGGTCTCACATCAGAGGCATAAATCATTTTAGCTCATTCTGTTCCACATCATTGACCTCAGTCTACCTCTTTCGTATTCACAATAGGGAACATGCCATAAAACCAGTTTTCCTAACCCAGAATCTCCATCCAGAATTGCTATTCAATTCTAACAGGGTAACTACATCACAGAAGACATGAAGGAGGACAACATTAGTATCCTAGCATCACAGACACATTAATTCTTTCTATCTATCTATCTATCTATCTATCTATCTATCTATCTATCTATCTACACACACACACACACACACACACACACACACACGATAAAGGCATAATTTCATGCTGTATTTTTATGGTGGAATTTTTATAGTTAATTGCAATAATGCTTATTTCCTGAAGCCGTAGTTAGTTTGGCAACATAACCACCTCTATCTCAAGGCTATGTTCAAAAAGTACAGCAGTTTGGAACACCATACATACTCTGCAAGCAAGACAGTACATCTGTGTCAGTCCTAATGAGAAGAAGAAAAAGAGCAATTTCCAATGTCCTGAGATGTATCTTCTTCAACTCCCCCTTACATCTTACTTTCCATATTTTTAATGCACATATACAGCACACATTTTAAATCAATTGAGTAAATGGAACTAAAAATATCCCATAGTATTGTATTCTGTTTCCAGCATCCCTAGGTTTCTTTAGGGAGTTCACCAAAGATGGCTGTTTACTTGAAATCACTCAAACAGCTCAGCTAAATGACCATCCTCACAGCAAGGAGACACAGAATGTAAAGCTGCCATGTGAGATTTTTATGCAAGAGTTTGTCTTCTTGCAGTGAAATATATGAACTGAATCCTCAAGGAAATAAATAACACGTATTGTGATTTGGATCCAGAATCAACTATGTGGATGACAATTAAAGTGAATGGTATCATCTACTTCAGAATGAACACATTCAGTCCTTTTTGTTTTTTTTAAAAAGATAAGTCAATCTCTTTTATTCATACCTCTGTAAATATAATTTTTCAAGCTTTCTTCATTGGCCAGGATAATTGGTGAAAATCAATTTTCTAATACAAAGTTTGGAAATAATAACTACAATTAATTCTATTACTCTAAAAAGTTCAACCAGGATGAAACTGGGGCAGGGGAAATCAATTCCAGAAAGGTTCCTATAGTAATGAAATAGTAAAATATGAAATATCAGATAAAGCTCAATAGCAAAAGTTTGTTGATTATTTCCCTATATTGCTCATGGCCATTAACATTTTTTGTTTAAATCTGTCTTCCCCCTGCCTTTCTGCCCCACCTACTAGGCATGCATCTTTAAAACAAAAATCCCCTTAAGCTGATTGATTTTGGTAAAAATGTAAATATCTGGCAATAAACAAACCAAAATATTTGGGAAAAAAGAAAAGATGCTTCTGAATTTGTTTCTGCTTTTTTAGACTCCATTGGAATGTCTCAGTTTGTGATTTTCTGCCAGCAAGTTCCCTTGTTTGATTGAATTAGAAAAACCTGAAAAGGGTAATTCAGAAAAGATTATAGGCTTTTTTTTCTTGAATGTTCTTTGTCCATACATTGTATCTACTTCCCCTCCCATTTTGTATGCTTTCTTCTGTATTTCATCCTACACCACAGGACAACACAATCCTACGGGCTATGCCTCCACCTCAATAAACTTTATTTGAACACAGAAAACACAGACAATACACACATATAATGTTTTTTTCTGTGACAGTTCCACAGAACTCACACTGCTTTGGATGACATTTATAAAGAAAGCTTTTCTTTCATTGGTTAAACAGCAAAATAAAAATCAGAGCATGAAAGGGGAGTTGGTTGTTTTTGTTTTACAACTTGCAAATGATGAACATCCATGGAAACATCAACAAGAATGGATATATGAAACAATATGCCTTCACATACAATACAGTGTTTCTATAGAAATAGAAGTGTATCTCCAAATACATGATATAAATGTTCAACAATCTACAAGTAAGTCAGCAAGGAACAATGTTGTGTCATCAAGGTGGCTTGAGCCTGCCCTTTAATGCACTAGTGTGCCATAGAATGAGGTGGATCCCCAAAAAGACTTGATGGTTAGCTAGCTTGGAATCTGTATATCAGATCCAATGAGTGGTCCATCTCTACTAGGACTTTCCCTCTTTCCCCTCAAGTCTTTCTAGAAAATTGGCTCATTCTTCAACAGTCTGAAAGCAACAAAATGTACACAACTCCATCCCCCTGTAAATAAAAAAGGTCTTGATATATGCTTCATTAGAAATTCACCCAAATAGACACCAGAGTGATTTTTAAAGAACCATCCTGGTTTGGGTAGCAAGACGTTCTCGTATAACAGTTATGAGGGTCATCATAATTGCTAGATGGTTATGGTATATATCATTTGCTATTACATCACCACATCACCACATCCAGCATTGTACTGCATATACATTATGTTACACAGACCATACACAGGGCAGGATATGGATATTGACATGTTTTTCAGATTTTTACAATAATGAGTTGCATGCATTCTCTCTCTCACTTGGACACACACACACACACATACACACACACACACGCCTCACAGATTAGGTAGGCAGACAAAAATATATGACCCTTAAGGAAATCACTTTATAAAATGCTTACAATATTATATGTGTGGGAAGGATAAATATTTAAATATTTGTTATACTGAATATGCTGAGGCAAATTCAATAGAAATTGTGGATAATATGACCAATAGCTTTATGGCACAATCAATAATAAGCATCTCTTTTAGAATCTCACACAAATTTTGGAGAGAAAAATCTAGACGAGATGCAAAAGTGATTCAGTTCAGTGAGCCACTATGTGGCAGGACCACAAATCCATTTTCACTCTACAGATAAGTTTATGCAGTCCAGATTCCAACGTACAATAAGCAAAGAACAAATAAAACACAGAAGGTTCTCAAGATTCATGTATGAGCACCAAGAAGCAACATATTCCAAGTGGGAATAAATCTAGGCACAACAAAATGAAATTCCCATGATCTTTAGCCAGACCGATCACCAAATTGCTTTCTGCTGAAATCCAAAGAAGGTATAGGTCAGTCCCACTCCCAGGCTTAATTGAATTACTTGGAAGTACCTTTGGGCTTGTTTGCAAACTTATATGTTTGCATAACATACTTATGGGAATTGTGAGCTTTTTGTCTTATTGTGCAATTCCTACTTTTTTCAGTAGGTAAAGGAGGTGTTTTTATTAGATTAGACCATAATACAGATTCCCCCCACTCTAGGTATGCTATAAGCACACCAAAGGGGTAAATATATGTACATGTATATAGTTTTAAGTCAAATGCTCCATATTCTAATAGCGGCATCCCACTTTGGGAGTGGTGTCACCATTTTATCCCATAGTAACTTTATGTATCTTTCTGGTTTTTTGGCAAATGGTAGCAAGACAGGAGGTTTCCATTCATGTAACTCAGTCAACCTGTCTTTCTGCCATTCTGGAACCTTCTCCAGATGCTCATTCCATGTCTCCTTCCATAGGATTTAAAAGGCCACTGTTAATACTTTATTGAACTTGCAGTACTCTATTCTGGCATAAGCCTATGATTTTCCACACAAATACTGTTATCTGATGTCATACATAAAAAAACGTTCAAGTGAGAGATTGTTCTCAAGCATGTATTTTCTATTCAACAAAAAATAGTTTCCACTGTACCCTTGTTGTGTCCTCTTCCTAATGTGACAAACCCAGAAGAGATGAAATTATGGAAATCTGGACCTCCACTTCGATAAATATCCTTTCCATAATGACCTGCCAAAGAAAGATGAGAAATAGTGCATCATTTTATGCAGCTCAACCATAATTCCATTTCGAAGCAAAAAGAATGCAAAAAGAAAGCTACAGCATTACACAATGCCTGCAGAACAGAATTTATTTAATATTTATTTATTTGTCCAATTGATCCGTGCTACGTCACAGGATTGATGTTCTAGAGAAAAACAGGAAGAGGGAGCATAATGCATAGTGCTCTTGAATGAAAAGTAGAATGTTAGTGGAATAAATAAATAGGTTTCTATCCCACTACTAACTATGTTAGATGCTCAGTGGCATGCAACAGAACAGTACAATTAAAATATCCATTGTACAAAAACATTAAGAGAACCAATTTGGTGTAGTGGTTAAAGCACCCTGAAAGAAACTGGGAGACTATCAGCTCCAGCCCATCGTAGGCACAAAATGAGTTAGATGACCAGTCATTCTCAGCCTTAGAAAGAAGGCAATGTCAAACCACTTCTAAAATGTGCCAAAAAATCCCTGCAGAGGTGCATCGAAGCAGATATCAGGAGTCAACACAAGGCAGAAACAAAGGAACAAATTTACAATAATACTATTCAGTGAAAAACAACAACAATTCAACAGCAAAGAGGTCAATAGGCCAGCAACCTACTATGAACCACCTATGAGCCTGCCAAAGCTCTGGAAGATCTCTGTATTAAAAATTTTCTGAAAGATCATTTATATAGGGGTGATCTCCATGGGAAGACTGTTTTAAAGCAGAGTCATTAACAAGAAAAGCCACCCCTGGCTACAGTCTCCTCTTATTTTGTGGACTACAAGTTGTTTATCTGAAGATATATGTACCAGACAGAAGAATGGAGAAAGTTTCCTGTAATTACTTTAGCACCAAGCCATCTAAAGGCTGTATAGAATTTTTAAAAACACTTAAAAACTGAGCCCAAAGGCCCCCCATATTTTATGGAAGTAGGGGATCATCAACAGTTTGTTCCAAGATATTTGTATCATATATGTTGCCTCTGGAATGGAGAAGGTTGGCCTGAGAAGGAACCACACTACAGGCTCATTAAGGCTGTAGGAAGCACCACCACATGAAATGAGGCATTGACTACCTCCCAGATCTCACCCTACTTAGAATCCAGGATGAGAGTGAATCTAGCCTACAAGTGTAGAATCATACTAGAAAACACCATTTCATTGGGAGCCACAGGACAAAAGGAGACCCAGCTAATATGACAAGATGTTGCTCTGGTGATCACCACTGATGACTTTGGGCAACTACGCTGTGCAGAATGGTCATAGCTACCAAGTGAATGCTGTACATCAGAGTTCCCCAACCTTTTTTGGCTTTGCAGACCAGCAGGGGTGTGGGGTGGGGGAAAGAAGATGGTTCCGTGCAAGCGGTGAGCAAGCATGTGTGTACACGCAGCTCTATTTGTGTAAGCAGAGGATACATGCACTCGCCACTTGCATAAATGGACCATGCAAACTCACCCCCTGTTCACACAACTGGGATGTGCACCACTTCCGCAGTCTGGTTCTGAATGGCTCAAGGCCTGGAGGTGGGCCACAGCCTGGGACCCCTGCTTTACATTATTCTCCAAAAGAAATTGCTCACTCTAAACAAGATACAGCCAGCTAACAGCATGATGATAATGATAATTAAGGAAACACAACTTTATCTTCCTTATTATACTTGAGCTTGTACATGGCTTCAGTTAGATTCACTTTTCATCTTGTTCCTCTAATGCTCTAGGCACTGCTTCTGACACTTCACCTTCCATATCTACTCAGTAAACCAAGGAAACATCTGGGCTTGGCAAACAGATGCTACTTAGGAACAATTATCTCAAGAGCCCAAGTCATCTTTTAATCAGCAGCTAACCTATAGTGGAATATGTGGTTGAATGAGGAGAATGAGAGGAATAGATGCTGCCTAGGAAACAACGAACAAGAGAGGCAGTGGCTTGCTAGAACACTCCCCAAATGTCCACTGGAATTCATCCAAATGCATGAGATCGGCCCATTTCCCCAGTAAAGACTTTGGATAGCTGATCCAGGAAACAATCTGACCATTGAAAAGGTCTGAGTATAAAGCTCTCCATATCCACAGATTCTAACATCTGCTCTGAGGCAAAACCAAGGTCTAGCATATGGTTCTTTAATGTGTCAAGCCAGAGATCAGCATGGACAAATCTGGGATCCCCTGGAGGCTATGAACTTCCAAGCTTTCAAGAATTGCACTGTCAACCTCAAGCCCTCCTCCACAACTTTTCTGATGATCTAATATCTGACCTTTCTCTTGGTGGACAGAGGGTTTACTGTACCTGATCAACCTGATCTGAAATAATTTAGCTATGAGACTGTAGTTCAACAACAAAAAATATCTATATTTCACATCAGATCCCAAGAAATCCTATATAGGTATCATGATCACATCCTCATACAGAAAAAAAGCTTGTCCTTTGACTACTTACTACCAGAATATTGCTTGCCTCTGCTACAGGCGAACAAATAGGTGCTCTGAAGAGCTAAGATAATATTTACATTTGCAATAAAAAGAAAAGCATTACAGTCTATAGAAAGGAACGTGATAGATAATCTGTAGAAAAGATGTAAGCCGTGGTTGCTTTTATGTTTGTACACTGCGCTGTATATTATTTTATTATGCTTTGCTGGTGTTGATTAGGATTCCAGGCACAGATGAATTTCAATTATTGTCCTTTTCATTATTTTAGGTTTTACACTGTTGACCAACCTCAGAAAACTAGTTCTGTGAGATATAATAAACACACATTTTTCTGTGTCTCCAATGTAGCTCAGGGTCTTTGCCTTTCTCATATAATTTACTTTTTTTGACTTGCTAATTGAGAGATGTTCTCTATTGTAGGTTACTGCCTAATAGTCTTGAAGTACTGTATTAGATGAATCCCCAATGAGGATTCTTGCATCCTATTTATTTTGTGTTCGCATAGGTACCATATTCCTTATATTAGTAAAAAAAACTGTAAAAGTATATATAATCCATTGCCCATTTCCAGGTAGAGTCACTTCTGCCTTTTCCATTTAACTCATTTACACATGTTCATCTATAAATATATTCATCAGGCATATTCATGCATATGGAGATAAAGTTATGGTATTCTATCTATGGATGAGAGACCACCATTTTTCTTTTTTCAGCCTGTAAATATTGTTCCTTGAGCAAACTAGGTCAGCCTTAACCATAAGACATACAAAGCTGCCCCATACTGAAAGAAAAATATGATGTTTTTAAACAGAATTACAAACTTTCTCCCACCTCTGAGCAGTGGTTCTTTTCATTTGATCACAACAATTTTTTATAGAGTTTTATAAAACTGAGGTTGCATCTCCTAGGTCCATCTTATTACACACAACTTGGTTGACTCAAATTGCTGGGGTTCATTCTCCTGAGATCAATTCAATTCACATTTTCTCTCTTCCATTTCAAAAGGTAAAAAACCCAATAACTTAAAAATAAAAAAACCCAGGAAATTGTAGGAGACAGCTGTGCCACACTGGGAAAATAAGGGGCTGCTCCCTACACGGTCTTGTTATATGCAATGAAATCACAGAGAAAAGGAGTCCAAGTCATTTTCAAATTTGACAAAACTGCATATGAATGTGTATTTTGCTTGTTGGACAATAATATGCAACTTTATCAGGGCTTTCAGCTGAAAAGAGACAATCCACTGCACAAATATATACACCCAAGGTAAGTTGTGTAAGAAATTAATATGTGGTACAGGAGAATATTTGTAGCTTAGTTTTCTTGCAGATGTTTTATTACCCCAGCACTGATGATGTTACCTAGTTAGGGAAATGAAATGCCTGCAAGAAAACAAGCAAGCTCAGAGAGCACCAAGAACCCCTCAGAAATTAATATGTTACAAATGTTAACTATATTATTAGCCTTCAAATAATGAAATTATTAGAGTTGAATTGAACTATCATTATGCACAGAGGTGGTATTCAGCAGGTTCTGACCAGTTCTGAAGAACAGGTAGAGGAAATTTTGAGTAGTTCAGAGAACCGGCAAATACCACCTCTGACTGGCCCCGCCCCCATCTATTCTCTACCTTCTGAGTGCCAGATGATCAGCTGTGTCTTCTTTTGTTGCCTTGCACAGGAGAAATCAGGTCAGCTGGCTGGGGAGGGAATAGGATTTTGCAGTAACCTTCCCCCAGGAGTGAGGAGGATATGGGGATTTTACAATATCCTTCCCCTGCCACTCCCACTAAGCCACACCACACCCACCAAGCCATGCCCATAGAACTGGTAGTAATTTTTTTTGAATCCCACCACTGATTATGCACCTATGGAAACTTTTATTCCTAAACACAGATTTTAGAATCGTGAGCTCTCTGGGTACTTAAATTCCAACTTAAAAACTTGTGTTTGTGTGATGTTAAAACTAATATTTGAATCTTCTACAAAAATGAGAAAAGAACTGCTCTATATTTTCAGGTGCTTGGGCCTTCTTTTATTTGTATGCTTTCAATTGCTTGAGACAAACCAATCACCTGGAGTTCTTTGTGCTCTCTGAGGTTTGATGTTTGTCACAGACATTTCATTACGCAACTAGGTAACATGAGAAGTACTAGTGAGTGCCAGTGCCAATCAAGCCATAACCCCCTGAGAGAAATACGTGCAATTACTTGTCTATAGAAATGAATTCCTTGGGAAGTAAAGGAAGAATATTTACTTCTCACAGGCTATTAAGGCTGTAAGGCTCATAGGTTACCACAGCTGACTAGCAGGTCTGATTCTTTTCCATCTGGAGAGGGCTGAACATTGCAGCTTCCCTTCCCTTTTTTTTTCAATCTGAATTAATATCTTTCCACGTTTCGCTTCACTTCACTTTGCTTGTAAGAGTTAATCAGACTACACAAAGAATCATTAGTTTTATCCTCTGTTTAGAATCAGATAATTGCAGCTGTGTATTTCATTTTTGCATAAATCTACATAGCAAAGTACATTTTTTTCTTCCGTTG